TATGTTTTTGTATGTTTTTTTGTGACCCAAAAAAAAGGTATATGTTTTTTCGAAAAAGGTATATTGTAAAATATCCCCATGCATTAGTATTAAACAGTAGATGGCGACAAAAACAAACGGTTAGGTTGATTCTAATAAATTGATTTACATTAACAGTGATGAATTACTGTTTATATATCAAAATCCTGTGTTTTACAACATATACTTTAAAGTTTAAACTATTTAAAAAAAAAAAAAGCTGAATGTAGTTGATATATACAATGCATAACTTAATACAGGTATGTGAGTTTTGGTTCAAATTCATTATTTTATATGTATCTGATCTAAATTATCATATAATTATTCAATAATTTATTTGGTATATTAAGGTAATTTATTTCTATTGTTATATGTATAATTTGGATAATTATATATGGGTAATTGAATTATCCGTTTGGATAAATATACTTAAAAATTGTCAAAACTATTTAGAAATATTTAAATCTTTCAATATTTTGACCATAATTAAATTATGCAAAACTATGTAACTATCCTTGAAACAGTAATACTGTCTGAACGTTTTTTATTCGTCGACTGACTAATTTGCAAACAAACATATATACTTGAAATATACTGGCCCCCACATGTGTCCTCTTCTGGGTTATATAGTTATCATTACATTTGTTACAAATTTCAACATGGATATTATTCAGAAAATAACTATAATTGATTCAATTGAATACAAAATACACCGTATATTTTACGGTGTTTCACATGTATGTGTGTACATAGATATATATAATATGCTGATTAAAACATTCGGTAAGGAATAATACATTTGGTTCTAATATCGCTTAGTAATGCTAGCTAGCTACTTGGCATTACTATCTATTATGAGAAGCATATAATTAATCTCTTAATCCGTGTCCAAATTATTGATTTTGACAAATAAATAGAATTACCCAGTTTTTTTTTTATAAACAAAAAAAAATATTAACTAGTTGTTCAGAATCGCTTATATACGGATTGTAACTTTGATTGGTTATAGGATTGTAGTTGTAATTAACTGTTGAAGTTTTTATGTTAGAAAAACAGTTAAAGCATCTAAAGATCTGAAATGATCACAACTGAAAAAACAAAATTGAGAAAATATACAAAAGCATATATGGTTGTAGAACAAACCGGCATAAGTTTGTTTGGATTTACCCACATATATATATACACACACACATAAATCTTTATGTATTGTATACAATAAGACACAAATCCAAAAAACAATCAAAACATAAGAAAAAGTTGGCAATTATGAGATTTGAAAATTTGGTAAAACGTACCAATCTTTATTATCGTGCAAAGGTATTAACGTTTGGATTGGCATAAAACAGATCCCAACTTGCACTTCGTTGTTTTCTATAGAAAAATATACAGTACCAGTCTACCAAATCGACTCACCAAACTAATTATCATCAAATCTAGCTAGGCGTTAGATTCCCATCATTATTCAAAGAACGAAAACAAAAAAATGTAAAATTAAATCTATAATTTATTCGGTCATCCTTGCAACACAGAAGGTCAAAAATTCGTATTCTAAATAAGTAAATAACCACGTAACGAATCAAATCTTGTCATTATCATTTCGTTTTTAATAAATATATACAGATCTTGTTATTTTGATATCACCTACTATTTTCATCGAATCATCTCATAAGTACTAAAGGTTGGGGTCTTGGAGTGATTAATGAACGTGGTTAAAAAAAAAAAAAGAGTATTAAAGGTAAAGATTGATTTGATTTTGAGATTGGAAAATAAAATTGTATAAATTTCATTTATCGATGAAGCCAAAGAGAGAGGATCTACCGACTGCAAAGTACAGTACAGAAGAAGAATCTAATC